TGAAGTCCAGACCCAAGTCCCATATGGCTGGGGCTGAGGCACAGTTCACATGTCCCTGGTTATGAGAATAGCAATGTAACATTGCACAAGTTTCCAAACAGGGTTTTTTCTTTAATAATGAGGCACAATTTACGATTAAACAAAAATCTATTCAAAATATAAAATCAAAATTCCACCCATTCCAACTGCCTTCTGGGTGTATTATGGTGACGTAATTTCAGAATGACCACATGTTTATACAGAAGTCAGTAGAATATGTAACATGAGATAAAGCAATTAAAATATAAACAATTATTTTGCATTTGGTAGTAGAACACGCCCTTAGATATAGTATGGGAATAGACATATTTATTGGTTCTTGAAGTTAAGTATCAGATGTCAAATTATTTACAGTTGACATCATTGTTTCCTTTATTGCTAGATAAATCGTACATAATAGTAATTTGTAAGTCATATCACCTCCCAATTGGGTTTGCTATCACTTTTTAATCTCTACCTTAATCACTTTACTACTGGTATTAAACATCAAACAAAGGAACTATTTGAGCTGTTGGTGCAACAAAGGGGAGTTGGTCTTCCACGAAGTTACCGAACAAAAACACAATAGCCCTAGTTAAGTCATATCTATTTTAAGTCTTTGATTTGACTACTCATTGTTCTATATGAACCGACAACGATCTCTGGGAAAGCTATCCTAATGAGTAATATGGTTTCCTGTATTTATCCACGGAGACACAATTACACAATGGGCCAGGACTTCCCGCCATTTGCAGATATCCGAAAAATCTTGGGACAATGTCAAGGCCATTCACGTAGAAAACGAGGTTACATTTAGGAGGATCCTCTCTTTCGATGTCTAGACGATGGCTCTTGAGAAAAGCATCCTTAACCCTCTGGGACTTAGTCGTGAATGCGTAGAAATTACGACGCAGTACCTGTACCTCGTCGTAAGATGCAGGACGTTGTTGATCTGATGTTGCGACAAGCTCGGACATCCTGTTCTAGTCATCCAAGTTAATATAGTAGCGGTTTCAATACTCTGACATATACTTTACTGTCCTTGTCTGCTCGTACAGCAGGAAAATGAAAAAAGAAGACGTACCAATAGGTTTCCTGTAAGGACAGCTGCTCGCCAGCCAACATGTGACTTTTCTCTGGTTCACAAGATGTGATCTTGTAGGAGGATTAGGTGGGGGAGGATTGCTCCAAGGCTGGGAAATTAGTCTGTTATGGACCTCAAAAACTTGAAGTAAGGCAGTGGTCAGTAACAATAATTAATATAAAAATTAGGTCATAATAATTAATATAAGCTAGGTATACCTGAAATTTTATATATATAAATACCAAAATTCATATTCAAAATTATATTGATTTATATATATATATATATATATATATATGTATATATATGTATATTTAAGTAACTTGTTAGATATCTTAACATATTATTCTTGAGACCTGTTTACCTCCAGAGACATTGTACTTAGTTGCTAATGGTATATTGACAATAATCATTAATGATAATTATTTTTTTTATTTGTTGATTTAAATTTGATTTTTTTTTCTAAATGTAAAGTTTAAAAAACAATATATATGGTGTATGGATGCAACAGTGAATAACAGAAAGGCTAAGGACCCTACTACCCTGGTGGCTAGGTTAAAGTAGAGAGCCTAATGGGCATGGGAAATCCTGTAACAGTGATTTTGATGTTTTAAGGGTGTATTTTAATGTTTTTAATGATGTGGTGCAAAAACAAATATGCTGATAAATATCCTGGGGTTCGGGAGGTCTGGAGCCCATGGAATTATTTAGCTTGTGGGAGCTCATAGCTGTTATGCCACTGATAACTATCGGTATTTACAACTATATTTCTTTGAACTGTCACACCCCATATTATTATGTAATATCATAATCACAGTCTGTGAACCATAGAGGCATGTTCCCAATGTTGATTAATTCATATTTCCTTTATTTTGTATTCAGAGAGAGTAAAGTAACAATGTTTTGAAAAGATCTACAATATTATCAATTAGCTTTCCCTGGAGACTTTCCTGCAGTTATTTTAACCTTGTATGATATTAAAATTCTTTCAAATTGTATAGGTTTCTATAATTGAATAGGCCTACCAGTATTTTTGAAGCAACATTCTCTTTGGCATACCTTTAATGTTAATAATATTTATATTTATTTTTCTTAACACATTTATTGTCATTAGATTAAATTTTTTAGATTTTAGAAGTCAGATTTTAGTAGTGCAGTAGTAGTAGATTTGTTTCTATTTTAACTTGAAGAATATTGGAATAAAAATTTTATAAACAGATTTCTATTTAGATTTCTTTATTTTGTCCTAATTCAATGACTTTAAAATATGTTACAGGCTAGTGTGTCTGAGTTTATTTCCAGTCTAGTTTTGTTCTAGAGGTCATTGAGGGGTCAATGTATGGCAATAACATTTACTTATGCCTATTAACCGATTCTTTAACAATTAGTTTTCTCATGTCCATTCTCAACATCTTTAATGTCTTCTTTGTTTTGAATCATGAGTAAATCTTCAGAAATGTTGATAAAAGTTAGGTATAAACTATCGATCAGTGCATTAAGGTGGTTGAACTCCATTCTTGAATCCTTATTTCATCTTTAAAGAAACATAACCGAATGACAAAGCTCTAAATATATCATATGTCTTTTAACTTTTTTTTTTTTAAAGAACTAACATATGTTGTAATTGCTTCATTGTATATAGAACAAGGTTGGCGTGGAAATCTGTCAAACTTCTGTTCCAATGGTTCCACGCCATGAAGCTTGCCTACATAGAATACCAGTATACTCGAGTCTTACATTAATGTTGTTAAACATGTTTATGTTTTGAAGTTCGTAAAGCATAGATCATAATGATTAATTACAATCGTCTTTCTTAAAATTTAACCTTCGGTATTTGAACTCCGAATTCTGAACTCCTCCACGAACATTTTTCAATTAGCTTTCTCGAACTTAAGTTACATTCGAAGAAATGTCAGCAATGACTTAATACAGTATTAACTTATAAAATGTTTTTCGATTTAGGTATGGCCTTCAGTTTGTTGAATATCTCAAATTCTTAATATGTCAATATCTTCATGTATAAATTCTGACCTATAATAGTAATAATTCATTTTTCACAAGATTCCAACCCAGATATGGCAGTGCAAATGATAGTATATTTAATGGTAATCCATTATAGCAGTAGATGGTAGTTAATAACAGGTCATATATGGCAATTTATGGTTCATACAGTATATAGGTCCAATAATAAAATTCATAATAAATTATGAATTGCATTTTCTGTGTTATATAAAAGCATAGTACTTAGGCCTAGTCTCGGATCAGTTGTTAGATTAACCGTCTTGTAATTGGAGCATCTGGGTTCGAATCCTGATGAGGACAATAGTTTTTTTAGAATCTATCATAACTTATATAGTTGTTAGAATTATTTATCTGGGATTGTGAATGTGAAAAATAACATTAGATGTTATTAGTGAACGTTACCCATGCAAAAACATCTGTACACATTTATGTATCACATGATAATTATTACATGAATATTGAAATGTATAAACATGTTATGGAACACAGTGCACATGATTCATACACATGCGCATCCACTATTACATGCACCAATAGACATGTCTGAGTATTTACATTCAATGAAGTACATACTGATTAATGTGTATAGTGACTTATGTACTTTTTGGTCAGGGGATCCAGCATACAGTATATCACATTTTTACATCTGCTTCTGTCCATCTAACATGGTTAATAATAGATTTCATGATGTTATTCTTTATAAAGAGCAGTGGAAATGTAGAGTATTTAAGCCTATGTTACTAAGTGACCCAAGTATTGTAGACAAGAGTATACTGTTGCATAGTGAAATCTATTGTATTTATTTATCTGATATTTTCTGCTTTATGAAGTGAAGGCAGTATTTTTTTTTGGGAAGAATCGGAGGTTGGAAATAAAATGTTTTCTTTATAAGGGAAACTGCATTTTAACCTTTTTGCGGTTTGCTTGTAAGGTTTAACATTGAAGGAAGTCAGTCATTCATTTATCAATCATTTAATTTATTTATTTATTCATGATTATTTATTTAGTCATTTATTCATTCATTCATTGTTTATTCATTCATTTATCATTCATCGTTCATTCATTCATTCAGTCATTCATTTATCCATCCATCCATTCATTCATTCATTCATTCATTCATTCATTCATGCAGTCAATTATTTTATTCATGCACCTATTACCTTTCATTTCCTGTAAAGTGACAATTACCAATGCACTTAAAGTTTGTGGTTAACCATAAATATTTAAAGAGGTATTCTTAGGCCCTATCCTTGGAACTTCAATCAGGTAACTTCTATACTGGTAGACCCTGTCGAAACCTTTCATCAAGGGCATGAGTATGTTTGTCATCCTCTCCTTCAATCTGGCTTCCTAGCATATGATGATAGATCTTTTAATCAGTTTAATCAAAACCTTGTAGAGCTTAAACTAATCAGTCATTTTATGTCTATCCATTTTACTACTGATGTTTTTACAATTGCATCTGGAATCAATTCAATCGTAAAGAATTCAATTTAGATTCCAAAAATACTGGTTGATTATATTATAATTTATGAACTATTTTGTTTAAAAATGGACGTTTTGTGTCATGTCAAAAATCTTGAACAATTAAATTATATTTTGATTGTTTGTATAATTTATGTAAGTTATTAGATTCCAATTGAAAATTTAAAAATATTTTGCTCAAACTAATAAATTGACACATAAATAATACCATTTCTATACTGTTTGCAGCAAACTTTCATTGGCTGGTAGTCATTTTCTCCAAGATTTTAAACTAAATTGCATCTTAATAAAATGTCTGTATATTTTGCAATTTATTTTATCTTTTATCATGTAGATTCAGTGATACCATATTTCAACTAGTCTTATGTTGTTTTCTTTGCTTTATTTTTAGCCGATGCTGTGACAAAAAGAGTTGTGGAAACAGAAATGAGACACCATCAGACCCTGTGATCATTGACAGGTAAGTTTATAGAAATTCTTTTTAGATTATCGGGAAGTCCTCGGAAGGTACATCTGATGAAAGCCAAGCTAAACTGCTTGTATTTGTCTACAGTAATATTTTTTTAAAGAGGTGGTTGAAGCCTGTTCATTTCCTTCCTTACAATGATGGACTGAACACACATTGCATATCTAGGCCTATGCCAACCTGGACACAAATCATTACTCATTTTGTTCATGAAGGATTTGGTTTCTACAGGCTTATCAGAGGCTGGCTAAAAAAATGAATACCAAAACAAGATTGAATTTTGACATTATTTTCTATTTATTGTAGGAATCAGCTTCTGTCATGGTCCTGGCTAATGTATCTTATAAGTGTAGGATTTGTAATAACTACATTAATAGTAGGCAGACCTAATAATACAGCGCTAGTGCAAATATTTAGCTCCAGTATTGCAGTAGTTTTATACTATGATTCTATTGTAATTTGGCATTGTTGTTACCACAATGCAAATTCTAACCATATTCTCGGGTTAGATTTTAGGGGTGTTTTTTTTGGAAGAAAAAATTAGTAATCAAACATAATAGGCCTACTACCAGAAATTTTCTTGGTGTATGATATTCAAAATGGAAGTTAGTTTAAACATACTGTAGTTAGATTAAGCTGTGTGGTGCCATATTAATCTACATATTGTTCAAGAAAGCTCGTTAAAATTTTATCTCATTGAAATTGTGTATGTGAGGATAGGCCTAGTCATCAGAATTAGAATTGGCAGATTTAAAGCATTGCGTTACTGGCTACTGTCTATGGTCTATCTATAATCGTCAGGTTGATATGATAATAAAAGCATGAAAGAAAAATGTGTAAACTTTGCTTCTGACCATATTTCCATGATAATAATGTAAATGTCAATAGTGTTGTTAGTTAAAATTGAAGCTAAATTATTTTTATAATAGTGATGTTATTGTTATTGTGCTATTTATTTGATACAAATTTTAATTGATAATCTTAACCTTAAAATGAAAACAAGACATGATGCAATTGCAAGCGGTGTCCCAAAACATTGTCAGGTGTATGAACATTCGCCATTATACCAGAGGGCCATACATATCTCCAATTTCCATTTGTAAACTTAGACAAAGAATTCCACAGTATTCTGTCCTCTTGTAGGCCTTTGAAACAAGCATCTATATCAAATTCTACCCTCGAAGGCAAACCGTGTTTTATGAAAGTTTCTATAATGCACACCAGGACAGACTTTTGCAGGCTTGTTTTTTAGTGTGTCAAACCTGATTCTAGTCATTTCTTAAGGCTCTTGTACATTGACTCCAGTGTCCTGGAAGTTGTGTTTATGTAGTAACTACATGCCTACTTGCCTCCAAAATATACAATTATGACCTGATTGATGAAACCTGATTGAATCAGCTCATACACCTAATGAAAGTTTATATCAGTGTATGTGCGTATAAATCAATACCATTTTAAATTGTAATTTCAATAATTATTTTATTTTTCGACCTAATTGTTATATTATTATTTTACTATAATTAATTTGTAATATTATAACTATAATACCTGGTGGAAAATTTTTCAACTTCTCTAAGGGAAAAAAAAATGAAAATAAGTGACAATACTAATTACGCCATGTTGGTTATGATATAAATCTTACTGAGTTAAGCGTGTTAAATATGTCATTGGTATGAAATATTTAAATTTATTATATTAGCTAATTTCACTATGAAATTTTATGTGTGAAATATTTGGAACCACTTATAAAACTTAATTATCCATTGTCTGTTTTTCTCCTTTTTTTTACCGATGTGGTTGGTGAATTTCAGAACAAAGAGAGATATGAAGTCTTCAAATAACCCTACTTGTGGTCCATTAGCTCCCTGTCTGTTCACATTTTGTCACAGGTGGTAATACTATCAACATCACGGTGATGATGCTTGGTATACAAAAAATCTGTCAGATTTTGATGTCAGTACTATTCTACAAAATGTCCTTTGTTCCAAATTAACTCTGAATGTCAAGACAAGTAAATGAATATTGGGCTGTTTTTTTAACATTATGTTAATTATTGATGTATTTATTTATTATCAATTGATTGATTATCATTAGTAATTATTACTACCTTGTTGAGTACTTTTATAACGTATATAGAAATGATATAAGATATATTAAGCATATTGTACAATATGATAGACTCTATCAATTGGACTGTTTAATATTTAAAGAGCTTGGTGGGAAAAAAAGACTGTAATATTATTATAAAGATTATTTAGCATATCAGATAAAGGTGAGCATAATATATAAATACATGATATAAATAACTACAATAGAGAAATTATTCCACATTAAATTTTACTACCTAAAAAATAATATAGAAACAATTACATATTGACATTTCTTTCTGAAAACATGTATTTTGAAGAAGATTTACAAGCAGTAATAATATTCAAACTAGAATATGATTATATATCATTGATTTTTTTTTTATATGACTTGGCAAAATGTGCTTTCCTAATAATATATTACTACTTTTTATATTTATTCTATTTCTATGTATTGTATGATCAGCAGTTCTCAACTATTCCATCATCTCTCCGTCTATAAAATAAACTATAAAATAAAGTGATTTGTTTTTATTACTAACATTTGCATCACATAGATAGAACTTTTCTAGGACTCAAAAGTGCTTTAAAATATTGTAATGGTTAGGAACAAAGTCAAGTTCTGTTGAATTTTGATTAGAACATTTACTAGGCCTTGCCTCTCCTCCTCTAAGCACCATTGTATTTTAATGTCTATGTTTGTTACCTCCCTAGAGACAACAAACAGTAGCTTAGCACAGAACAGCCCCCTGACTTGAGGATGAAATAAATCAAGCGATATATGGTTCAAGCCTCATATAACTTACATGGAATCCATGTATAAATACAGTTTATAAATCCAGAATTTAAGTCCAACATACATTTTATATTGTTTTTGTATTAAACATAATATCTGATATTATGATATTTACAAAATATTACGATGAATAAATTACACAAATCAATGGTGATGTTGGTAGTCTATGAATGGATACTTACCTGGATCGGTTTATCCAGGTAAGTATTCACGAAGTAGACTTCTGATCTGTATCTGGTTGGGATTTCAATCTGCTAAACCTTTCACCTGAGCAACACTTAGCCCAGTAAGGGGCACAGCAAGGGGCAGACCGATAGTAGCACCTGTGGTATGATATCATAACAGAGAATCATCACCTGTAATGGATATCCAGCTTTCTTGGCCAGTAGCCTGATAGCTAAACGGTGACCTCAGAGGGAGCTAGGCTAGAAGATCATTGACTCCTTTCACAACCTCTATTTAAATTGTCTCTATATTAAATCATCTGTTTTTTATGTACTGAGGATTTCAAGTAGGCCTATTAGGTTGTAAATAAAGTACTTCATGTTATCTATATATATCTTATCCATTTTGAGAAAGGCTGATCTTGTTTATTTTTAACTTTCAATAATTCAATACAAGAAAACCTAAAAAACAAAGCATTGATTCATGTCAAACTAAACATAATTGTTGGAAGGTTTTCTTTTCAAAAAACCTATAACCATGAAAATAAGATCAATTTTCGGATATGAATATTCACGTAAGATTGTTTTCCCCAACGCAGAAATTTCCCAATCCATTCAAAAATTCTGGCTCACCTAGTGTCTTCCTTCTTTAAAGTTTGCTCAGTGCTTCACCTAAATCTGTTTTAGATTTTGAAAGCGATTTCCTAAACAATGAGAAATAGTGGTATATTCGTGATTAATGTTCCGCTAATTCATTAATCCATCTAAATCTTATGGATTTAGCCCTCAAGCCCTTTGAAAATCCCTCTTCCGCTGTCAATGTACAGATTATCAGGGCATTGTTCAGCAAGGGCATTGCTCATGGATTTGAGAGGTTGGTCTCCGCATTCTACCACTTCACCAGCAACCTTCTGTCTCATTGGCGGAAGTGTTGCAGTCCCACGTTCACCTTGTATTTCTAAAGAAGCAATGGTAAAACATCACTCATACAACACGCATTCACCAAGACCATGGTCTTGCTAATGTGGGTAGGGCATACACATATTCATACCGAGACACCCACACTCATAATTTCTTTTATTTTTTTATTATTAATATTATTATTTGCTTAACATACATTGTAAAAGTTCCCAACAAATTCTAGATTTACCATGATTAACAAATGTTACCTGGCAAGCGTAGATAAATTAAACCTACCTGGTGAGCGTAGATAAAATGCAAGCGTATACCTGGTTGAAAGTAATCAATCAATACTCATTAAATAATATCCCCTCAAAGCGAACTTAAAATTGATAAGATCATGCAGTGTTTCTTACCATTATGCCTTAACTGCCTGTATAGTTCATTACCGTATTTATGTTTGCAAGTGTTGAATGGCCCTAAATCACCTATCACTATTCACAATGGGATTATCGGAGTGTTTATCAACTTCTGAATTCCAATGGTTGGCAAATACTCAACTCCAAACATAAAAGATTGCTGAATTGAAGGTAGACACTTAACACTTATCACCATTAGTTATAGTCACTTGACTTAATAATAATAACAAAGTAAACATTACTCCTAGTGTTACACATTTAGGGTGAAATGAAGTTCCAAGATTTCGAGGACAGATAGAGATCCCCCCCCCCCCTCTATTTTTCTCTTTCGTATCATTTCAAGTGGATTTTGTTCTTTTTCAGAGAGGGAAAATATTGGAATGAAAATGTGTAGCATTAATAATTACCTATAGGGCCTGCAAGAGTGGCCCTGGGCCCTAGGTCAACACACCTGCCCAGCCCGAAAATGCTAGGGCCTATGGACTGTTTAGGGACTGAGGGCAGTCAGGGGTCCAGTTGGGGCATGGGGGGAACGTACCCCCTCGTTTTGCCACTAAATTTTTTAAATTGCAATGCATATCAATGTTATGTGCTACTCACTTCTATTCTGAAACTGTTGTTTCTCTTTCCCCCCCCCCCCCCCCCCTCTCCAACTGAAAAATCCTAGATCTGCCCCTGGGAGGAGTACTGTATGGGGTCAGGCCTCTAGAATGCATGGTCTTCTTTGGTATTAAGATGTATGGAGTTATCAAAATTATCCAAAAAAAATAAAAAGACTTTTATTATACTTTTTATCTATCTTTTGCCCTATTGACATATGCCTCTATGTGGGTCAAAATGATGATGCTAGTAACACCAAACATGATTTTCATGGGCCAACAAAATGGAAGCAGGCAGGGACGAGGAATAAATATATATTTGCTTAAGATAATAATACAAATGTTTGATAAAATTGAAACTGATGATCTGATGGCGTGATAATCACCCTCAAATTCAATTGGTTAGACCTTTGCTCAATGATATTGTCCTTTCTCTTTATTTTACATTATTCTCCATTCTTTTTACAATTAGCTATCCCCGCTAGATTTCTCAATTGCCTTTCTATATCAAATTACTACAATTAGATCACCGATGTATAGAAGAAACTGTAAATAATTTGAATGAAATATTTGCATAATATAATTCCACTGTCTAGTTTAGAAAATAAAATTATAGAATAATTAAATTTTTATTATTGTATTTCATATATAACAATATAACATTTTATAGATTAACATTCATAATGCTAAAGATGTCAAAACCAAAAAAATAACACCAAACATTAGATCCGATTGTCATAATGTATACTCAGACATTTTGTTTCATTCAACAACCTGACTAACGAGACATATATGCAGCGATAGTGATAGATAATTTATGCCGCATGGTTAGGGTGATACTTTGACACCTTCTTTACACACGCTAAGAGACAATGACACTGACTCCATAAGCCGATGCCAGGCTGTGTTAACGTACCGTAGCCGGCTTCCCTTCCAATGTTCATTCGATGCTGAGCCTAAGCTTTGTGAACCGATAGATAACGCCTCCTAAAACGCTTTCCTTTTCTCAAATTCTCCAGAGCCTGCACGGATTGTCGTAGGCATATATTGGTTATTATAAAAGTATTGTTTACGGAGTTCAATACCTTTGGTTAAATTGAATTAACATCTTAAATTTACAGCCCAACACAAACCATTTCATCGCATATTTACAAATTAATATTGCCAATTTAACTACAAATATGAGTTCGTGGAGAAAATATAGAATTGGTTATTTGTTCTAAATGCAAGAAGTCGTATCTACAACATCAGTGCAATCAAGTGAAGCTCAAGACCGAAGTGCTCTTGTATTGAAAAGGGGCACTGAAGTGGAAGAAAGACATCAGGGTAATTTCTTAGCATGGATTACAATCTTAGATTGTATCACCATTT